TCCTGGCATTGGGACAGATTTGTGTCTTGACTTTCCTGCTACCTGGTGTAGGAAGTTCAGTTGAAAATTGGTAAGGAAAGATGGCAGGCAAGATAAGGTTTGTATTATAGGACCCAGTGGCACAAAGCCACACGGGACACGAAATAGTGGGCACAGAGCCCCTGACAAGAATCTTAGTAACCTTGTCTCTTGCTGCCCGGGGGAAGGTGTTACACTCACTTGGAATCAGCACTAATGCCTGGAGATTTCACTTCCACCCTGAGGGTGTCTGGGGTGAATTAATGTAACACATGATACCCCCAAAGTTAATTTTCTAGAAAAACACTCTGGGGAACAAAGTGCCCAGAGACTCAGTAGCTTAAAAAGTAACAACATTCGTGTTAAACTGACATCCTGAGAAGGAGGCAGCTCTATAAGATGAGCAGACGTTCAGTGTGGCTCCAGCCATGCCCTGCCAAGTAAGCAGGCCGCGAGCTTTCTGGCAGCCCCAGCCGAAGCCGTCACCAGGTCTTTTGTTCAACAAAACTGAAGGGTGCAATTAACAATTTCCATGAGTTTGAGGCTTCATTGCCTTCAAGTTACAAGAGGGTAAACAAGTAGAAAAGAAAAGGGAGACGCCAACGTTTTAGAAGTTATGACCTTCAAAGGAGGAGGAATAAGTCCAACCACAGGAAAAGTGGTCAGAAATGTGATACCCATTTTGTGAGAGCCCAGGAGACCCCAAATTGCCAAACCACTGTATCTGAGGAAGCATTGCTGGAACTGAAGCTTCCAGAAACTTTGAATGGCTCGTTTATTTTACTGGGGCTGAAGCTGATGGGGTAATTGTCAGGGGAGGCTGTGGATTTGATTGATGCCTAAGCAAGCAGGCTTTCATTGTCAGCCAGGAAGCCATCAGTAATTACCCACTGCAATGAGCCATACAGGATTGTGTGTGCATGTGTGTGTGTTTGTGTGTGTGCACGCATGCGCGTGCCCGCTGAGGGTGGGGCGTAGGGGGAAGGATGGCCCCTCTGGGCTTTTAAATCCAGGCCAAGATTTTTCTTTGCTTAGTGTTTATTCCAAAGAGTCATCACAGAGAGGCAGAGAGGTGAAAGTGTCAAGTTTTTTACGTGCTAAACCCTGCACTAAGGACAAATTTCCTTTCCTCCCGTAACACCAGATTTCCCAGGCCTCACCAGTCTAACAAGATTAGATTAATGGTAAAAGCCTAAATATCGATCACAAGCTTCCCCCCAACCCACTAGATGCACGGCCCAGAAACTCCAACTCCATTAAGGTCTCACTCAGTTTTGGATACTCCCCAGCAGGGTCTCACGTGACCTCAGGAACAGCCTTTTTATGCTCTTCTATTCAGAGTACCCTGTCTGGGGACTCAGAAGCTACCCTAGGGTGGCCGTGCCTCTCCTCACCTCTCATGGTTCTGGTGGTCTCCTTGATAGTCTGGATGCTGTGCCAGAAGGGGTTGCCTTCTTCCAGTGTCCAGATCAGCAGGGTGCTAAGGAAGTGCTGTACTTTCTGGAGCTCTCCCTGGGCGAAGGCCGCCTATCTCCCCCATTCTGTCACTTTTGCTTCCTTGGTGGTATGAACAAGCTGACAGCTCATGCAAAACCTTGTGAGAATATTTCTTCATCTTCTGCCTGGAGCCCCCTCTTTTGATGCAGTGCAGATGAAAATTCAGGAGGCTGGCATTCTAGACCAGTGCTTCTCAAACTTGAGTACTTACTAGAGTCACCTGAAGGCTCTGTTAAACCCAGGAAGGTTTTAGTAAGTCTGGGGTGGGAGTCAAGATTTTAATGAGTTCCCAGGTGGTGCTGACGAAGGTGACCTGGGAGCCACATTTTGAGACCCCCCTGTTCTAGATCAGCACTAAGCTGCCCCAGGACCCCTGTCCCAGCAATTACCTTGTTGGTGGCTCCTGCCCACCAACAGGATGAACATGCCTAGACACGCGTGGACCTTGGAAGCGGGCCCAGTGTAGGTTCACGGTGGCACTTTCATTACCACTGTAAAAGATGAGAAAATACTGACCCTCCCAGACTTTGCTTTTAAAGCAGATATTACATGCCTGCATTCTGACAATTTAGGATTTGACTTAGGAACATCAAATTTGCACATTCCCTACATATGAACTGTTAACCAACAGCTTTCTGGGGTGGGGGTGGGGCCCCCTTAAACACTGAAGGGTGCCTATTGTGTGGCCTTTTCCCTCTGACTACAGAAATCATTATATTTTGGGATAGCAAATGTTTTTGTCCTTGGTGAACTGGTAAAGTTACTGATGGATGGGAGTTCTGGAGGGTGAGAGACGAGGGGCTGTAAACCCAGGGAGAGAAAACAGGGGAGGAGGGGACAAAATGATGGCTTCTCATGTTCAGCCTTTGCGGAGCACTCTTGGGACTACGACACACCCAGTACCATGGACCCGGTTCCGGACCACCACAGTAAAGTGAGTATCGCAATTAAGCAAGTTGTAATCTTTTTTTGCTGGTGGAAGGTCTTGCCTTCAATTTGTAAAAGCGCAGCATCTGTGAAGCACAATAAAGCTTAGCAAAATAAAATGAATACTCCTGTAGTCTCATTGTGGATTAAATAGGCTGTGAGCCAAGGGTCTTCCTGGAAATCTAAAGCATGTAGAACATTTCTGTGAGAAATATGTCATTAGAAGACACAAACTAACTTACCTTCCAAATGGAACTCAACTTGCTGCAAAGTAGCGATTCCGGTAACTTGCCAAAGGTCTGTCATAGATGAACGTTCTTTTGCTGTCCTCACTCCTCATAGATGAACGTTCTTTTGCTCTCCTCACTCCTCACGCCGTGAAGGAATCCTGAGTTACATCTGACCTTTGCTAGGCTGTTGAATCATCGCTGGTGCAGCTGGGTTTTCCAAGTCTGTCCCATGGAATCACAGACGTCATCACCATGGCCTCTGCTGGGCCTGAGATGGATCAAAGCTGAAGCCAGGACAGAGAAGCCAGGCTCCTAGAGACAGCTCATACATGCGCGGTGCGAGGTTTCATCTTTTGGTCGGTTCCAACTTTTGAGTTTGGCTTGAGGTGACTCTTGGCCACAATGGGACGAGAGCAGAGGACTGGGAAAGGAATGGCGTGAGAGCTGAATCTTCCAGATTGCATCAACTCCAGGGATCTTCAAGTTAATTTCATTCAACTCCTCTGCTCTACAGATGGGAAGACTGAGGCCCAGAGATGCGAGGTTTCATCTTTTGGTCTGTTCCAACTTTTGAGTTTGGCTTGAGGTGACTCTTGGCCACAATGGGACGAGAGCAGAGCACTGGGAAAGGAATGGCGTGAGAGCTGAATCTTCCAGATTGCATCAACTCCAGGGATCTTCAAGTTAATTTCATTCAACTCCTCTGCTCTACAGATGGGAAGACTGAGGCCCAGAGAGTCAGAGTAACAACACAGCCTGAGTGTGGCCTCCTGGGATCAGCTTAGAGCTTCAGCATTAGAACTGCCTCGAGCCAGCCTCCTGCAGAGCGGGCAGTGGGCCACCCACCGATGCTTGAGGAAGGTAGCAGGTGCTAGGTGAAATAAGGCTGTGAAATACTAGGTTAATCGTTAAATGGAGGGATACCTTTATGGTAGGATCTCTTTAAGCTTTAGTATGAGATAGGTATTCTGAATCTCCAAGAGGTGTTATTATAGGTCTTTTTTCCCTCAGAGCATTTTCTAGAAGTAACACTCCATGGAATACTCTTCGGGGAATGCTATATTATGGACATAGTTCTTCGAGTCTCCTGACTGGATTAGTACCCTTTAGAACACATTTGCCTAAGATCCTGGGGGGACAAGGTGTACTGGGAGTAAGGTTGTCAGATAAAATACAGAATGTCCAGTGTAATTCAATTGTTAGGTGAACAAATAATTTTTAATATAAGTGTGTCTTATGCATTTTTTGGGGACATACTTATGTTTGAGACTAAAACAATTATTTGTAGTTTATCTGACTTTTGAATTTAACTGGACATCCTATATTTTTATTTGCTAAATCTGGCAGTCCTAACTGGGAGAGCTTTCACCACTGCTGCTCTGGAGATTAGAGCAGGAAGAGAGGGAAGCAAGAGCCTCCAGTGGCAGGCAGGCTGGTCCTGCTGCAGGAAGGCACAGAGCACAAGCACAGGTGAGGCGCCCGCCACCCCCACCTCCCCGTGCTCTGTGCCGAGGAGGGAGCCCAGGGGTTTCTAACCCAGTTCCTAACTCACTCAGATGTTCTCGAACAGGAAGGGCTACTGACCCCTTCTGGAAATTTGTGGGGGGAGTTTTGGTTGTAACAATCGGAAGGTCCTACTGACCCTTAATGGACGGAAATGCCTGATGTCCTTAATGTGTGTGGCAGTCCACTGTTCACTCCGCATGCCTTTTTAGTGTCCTACCAGATAGTCATATAAGTATATTCTCACCTCCCTTAAATCCAAGATTACTTATTAGAGATAGGCACAAGTGCCTAATTAACTTCATGTCTCCTAGGGTGGTCCTGCTTCAGCGTTTACATGTTGAAATATTTTATTATGAACTACTTTCCTTTTTTATCCTTTATAGTCTAGTTAAGACTACATATAGTGTGTTTAATTATTCATGCCAGTAGGTGATATTATCTACGATTTTAATTTCAGGTGAGTAAAACAGGTATTAAAAAAATAAAGTTAACCCTTGAACAATGCAAAGGTTAAGAAAGCTACCCCCCATCCCGTGCAATGGAAAACCCATGTACAACTTTTGGCTCCCCCAAAACCTAACTCCTGTTGATTGGAAACTTTACTGAGAACATAAACAATGGATTAACACATATTTTATATGTTATATGTATTATATACTGTGGTCTTACAATAAAGTAAGTTAGAGAGGAAAAAATACTATTAAGAAAATCATAAGGAAGAGAAAATACATTTACAGTATTTATTGAAAAAAATCCACATATAAATGGACCCACGCAGTTCAAACCCACGTTGTTCAAGGATCAATTGTATATGGAATAACGAGAGGACACCCGTTTGATGGAAATGAGAAACACTAATGCAGCCACATTGCTTTTTTTGGCTTTAGTGAAGCCACGAGTTCTTCTTGTTCATCGATTGCACTAGTTAGGATTAGGTTTAACTGCATATAATAGAAAAATATAACCAACCAAAAACAGCGACTTAACAATCCAGACGTTTATTTCTGTTTCCTACAGAAGACCTCTGTGGTAGCCAGAGGTTGGGAGGCTTCCTCCTGCCAGGTCTCTTCTCCATGTGGTCCTTGTGCTCAACATCAAGACGGCTGCAAGAAGGCCTCTGCCACTTGGAACTCTCCTTTCTGGAAGCCAGCCTCCATTCCGAGGAGGCCACACAGCCACATGAAAAGGCCCACAGGGAGGGACCCAAAGGGCTCAGCCAACAGCCTCAGCAGAGCTGCCAGCCAGCGGTTTCATCCGTTGCCAGCCAGTGACTGAGGCAACTCTCAGCCAGTACCCTGCAGCACCCCAGTTGTCAGCACGTGAAGCCAGAGGACCACCGGGTCACCTTATAGAAATACAACAAATAGTACGCTGTTGTTGTTTAAAGCCACTAAGTGTCATTCCGCCTACTTGAGTTGTTATATTGTAATTAATAACCCAAACAACACTCCTTTATTCATCCAGCACTATTCTAGGTGCTGAGGATCCAGGTGTAAAAAGACAAAAAGGGCCTATCCTCACAAAGCCTGCCTTCTAGCTGCCTCCTCTTAAGCACGTATTTCAAATCTTTATTATTTTCTTCAAATCACGACCCCCCTTCTTATTTTACAGAGAAATTGGAGACTACTAGGTACGAGTTCTTCCAACTTCTTTCTCCCACACTTACGTTCACCCAGATTTGCACCACCTTCTCCGCCCTTCTCCGTGCCCTCCTCCATGGCTGCCCATGACAGAACTGTCCCTTCTCCTGTCCCCTGCCAATCTGCGTGCCAGCCTCTCTCTTGTGTCTCTAGCTTCTTCAGCTCCATGAACTCCATTCGCTCATGATGTAAACAGATCCGAGTCTCTTCTATTAAAAAAAACTAACAAAAAATAAAAAGCTCCTCTTTAGCCTAATGTTCTCCATCTAGCTTCTGCCTTCTTTTTTCCTTTTCTAGAAATTGCAGTCTTCTCGCTCTTTCTCTCTTTTTTTTTCACTTTCAGCTTACTCCTCAATGCCCTGCAACCAGCTTCTGTCCCACTGAAATTACTCTCAGTGAAGTCACTGTATATTTAGCAGGCACCTACTATGTGCCAGATACTAAGCTAAGCACTGAAGATAGAGAGGGCCACAAGATAGGCATGGCTCCTGGTCTATTGCAGCGAGAAATCGAGTTGGGGAGACAGATTTTAGAGAAATTAACTTGGAAATAGATATATAATTATAGATTGGGGCAAGTGCTTTGAAAGAGAAAGGGGGGGGGGATGTTCTTGAATAGAATGTTTAAGAAAATTCTTTATGAGGAGGTGACATTTAAGCTGATGAAATAACCATTTCATAATTCCTTTATATGACCTGACCTTTCAGCAGCATTTGACAGCCTAACTGGCCTGAGTGTTCTTTTCTTCTTCATCTCTAGGCTCTTGTTATGCTGATCTCTTTCTCCAATCCACCCACCCCTTTTCTCTCTTTCTCTGCCCATCTTCATTAGGTATTGTTCAGGGTTGGATCCTGTTTTCTGATCTCACTAACATTCTCTCCAACTCAATATCATTCACATACATAGCTTCAACCATGACCATTGTGCTGAAGTTCCCAAACCTGTATGTCCAGCCCAGATTGCTACCCAAGCCCTTAGCTCATTTATTCAGCTTCCTTTCAGACAACTCCACATGAGGTTCCACCAAGCAGATCAAGCTAGAGCTGAACTCAATCTCTTCTCTCTACCAGTCCATGTCTCGGTCAGCACTGCTTCTTGATGAGGCCTAAAACCAGGGAGCCAACCTAGATTTCTCTGTCCCCTCGCCCCTCACACATTATTTTTAAATCACTAAGTCCTGTTGACTCTATATCCTTAATGTCTTCTGTCTCTATTATTCCATTTCCATCTCCGTTGTTCTTCCTCTTGTGCAAACACCTTTTCCCCATAACTGTTTTTCCTCATCCAAGCTCCTCCCCCACAGTGACAGAAGCCTTACTGCACTCTCTGCTCTCAAGTCTTTCCTCCTTCAATCAACCATCTTCTCAGCTGCAAGAGTGACACGTCTAACATTTACAACTAATCAGATCATGCTGGTGTTCAGAATTCTTTAATGGCTCCTGCTCTGAGTCTTACTCCATGCTTTAGTTTGCTCTCCTACACCCCTAGTCTTCTTTTGGCCACACCATAAGGGATGTGCATAACTTGAGCTTGTAACTCCCAGACCCCGATCCAGGAATCCAGAACGCTGAGATTCCTTGTGCACACGATGCAGAAAAAGGATCTCCATCTGCATTCTTGCCCAGGCCAGGGAGGTGCCCAGGGCAGGCAGGCTGCCCCTCCTACGTTCTCCACTCCTTCTGTCATCCCCAAGTTCCCACTTCCTCTCATCTCCTAATTGCTGGCCTGCCTTCCTTCCTTCCTTCCTTCCTTCCTTACTTCCTTCCTTCCTTCCTTCCTTCCTTCCTTCCTTCCTTCCTCCCCTCTCTCTCTCTCTCTTTCTTTCCTTTCTTTTCCTCCTTTTCTTTCTTTTCTTTCCTTTCTCTCTTTCCTTTCTTTTTATTCCTACCTGCAATGCCCTCTACTTCTATCTATCAGAGTAAAACTACTATTTCTCATTAGGTTTCAGCAAAAGGGTCTCCTTGCCACCCCAGCAAACCCAGCAGTGTTCTGCATTCTTGCTGCATTTAGACTCATCTCTGGCTGGCCATGATCGAATTTCTCCAGGATACTGCTGGCAGCTTTTCCATTTTCTTTGTATTTCCTGGTCCATCCTTGGCCTGTGGACACCATGAACAGCAATAAAAAATTACCTCTACTAGCCAAGAAATCCATTTTGCTTGCCCAATTTCACCATCGCTTGCATTTCAATGGCAGGAGAATTTAGAAAAAGCACACACCAGCATGGACATGTGGCATCTTATATTATTAATAACATTAGCTACCCCATGTATTGTGCCAAGCTGATAAGTAACATTATCACATTTTGATAAGTTACATTATCACATTTATCTTCACTATAACCCTGTGAAGCACACATAATTATTAACCCACTTTACAGATATGGGAACTGAGGTTCAGCATGGTTAAATTAAATGTCTTAGATTACATGGCTAGGGAGGGAAAAGCCAAAGTTCTCACGTCATGACTCTAATGCACACATTCTGCAGTACCTCATGCTGCTCTGCACGCCACGTTCGAGCAATCTCTCAGAGCGAAATGTGCAGCTACTTATCTCCCGACCATCAAAAGGCATTTCAACATATGGAAAAGCATTTCTCAGGAAGCGAAGTTCCTATATGGTCAGTCAGCACTTTTCCTTTAGAAAAGAAGATAAACCAACAATAAAAATACAGATAACAATTAACCTGCTACATTTAACTTATTTTATTTGTTATAGTGTTTGTAACAAGAGAGACACGTTTAAAGTAGTTTTTAAAATGAAAAGTTCTGATATAAAATTTGTTCCAAAGAATCATTGTATGTGTGTGCATGAGTGTGTGTGTTTTAGCTTAAGCAATTAGGCTACTTTTAGAACAGAAAATGAAAGGAAGCAATAGTGAATTAAAATTTCTCTCATACCTGATCCCATGAATCTTCAGAGTTAAAATAATAAATTATTACTAATATCAATAATTAAGCAGCAGAAAAAAGATTTATCATAGCACATTTGTGCTCAGTAGCCTTGGAATCAGCACATCAAGATCAAGTTCCCTTGGAGGTGCCTGGGGAGACATGCTGTCCCTACCTGCAGCGGAATTAACTCCCTGTGCTTTCAGGAAATGGATAATCTGTGTATATTAAGGACAAAGGCAAGAGAACACGTTGGCAACAGGCAAAGGCTAACAGGGAATTTCAGCTTGCTGTTCTTCATAATGACTCAAAATAGGATCTTTGAAAATTATAAAGTCAGAGCTGGTGGGGTAGCTTATCATGGCAAGATTGCACAGCTCATCACAGTCATAGAATTGATTTTCTGTAAAGGTTCAGTGGTGTAGCAGCAGCTGCTGGCCACTGCTGTGTCTCCAGCAGGCAAATGCCTGATGGCTCTCAGGACGTCTGGCAAATAACCCTGGCAAACGGGTGCCATTTCCCCAGAGATCAGCGGGAATTGCACGGAGTTCCATAGCATGCAGCTCATGGCTGTTTAGCACTCGCAGTCCTCCCTACAGCCCTCATTTTAAGCCTCCAACAGGAAGGGCCCTCTTTCCTTTTTCCTCTCTGGCCCTTCATCATGCCCACTGCAAGCCTTAGCACTTTTATGTCTTGGCTAGTTAATTCCCACATAGTGGGTGGAAAAAGACCTCAGGCAAGGAGACATTAAGGGTGAACTAATAATAAGGTGAAAAGCTCTCCTCCGGTAGGTTAACAATAAAAAGTATAAAAATAGCTACTTTTTTTTTTTTTACATGTTCTCTGTGCTAATTATTGTGTGTGTTACAACCATTTTCACCCTTCCTCCTCATACCTAGCCTGAAAAGGAGGCATTGATCAATCTCTTGTTTAACAGATAAGGAAACAGTCCGAAGGAAGCAGAACCACGTGTCCAAGGTCACGATTTGGTAAGTAGTAAAGTGTTTAAGTCCAAAACACAAAAGTCCCCCCGCCTTGAGAACTGGTTTCATTTGGGACAGCTCTGGCTCACAGGGTGATACTAGACCCAGCTTTTGCTGAGCACACAGAACATTTGTTGCCTGAACCACATAGATATGATACTGTTCCCTTTTAAAATTCCTTTGTATATGCCAACACTTATAATATGGACCATCAGCTATCTCTTTAATATCATCCACTGCAGATCCCGGGTGTAGGCACATACCTGGTGTCAGTCATTGCTGACTGATGTTTTTTATGTTGGGAACAGTGATTCTCTTCATCCAATAAACACTCACTGAAGCCCACTTCTGTATGGACAGTGTGCTAGTTTCTATGAAAGTGAAATGAAAATGCTACTCATCTTGTCCTCAAAGAAATCTAGAGAGGGGAAAGAATCATGAACACGAGGAAGAGAAATTCCACCCATTTGGCCTGTTCTCCTTCTTTGCTCCGCCCCACAGAAGGAGGGAATGCTAATCTGATTGGTCTGGTTCTAGAACATTGTTTTGGGGCCACGCTTATTATCAGGCAGATGTGATGGTTAATCTTCTGGGTCAACTTGACTGAGCTACAACGTGTCCAGATATTTGGTCAAACATCGTCCCAGGTGTGTCTGGGAGGGTGTTTCTGGATGAGATTAACATTTGACTTGGTGGACGGAGTAAAGCGGATGGCCCTCCCCAGTGTGGTGGGCCCCATCCAGACGGCCGAAGATCTATAGAACAAAAAGGCTGACCATCCACCAAGTAAGAGAAAATTCTTCCAGCATGATGGCCTTCAGAATGGGGACATTGGCCTTTTCCTGCCTTTAGACTTGAACTGAGACGTCAGCTCTTTCTGGGTCTCATACTTGCTGGCCTTTAGACTGGAATTACAGCATCAGTTCTGCTGCCACTCCAGCTTGCTACCTCACCCTTCAGACCTTGAAATTGCCGGCCTCCATAACTGTGTAAGCCAGTTCTATATATATATATATCTTTATGTCTTAAGCTTACTGGAAAATGAAATTCCAAGATTTAGATTCTGCCCTGGAGCACAGAATATACTCCACAGGCCTTGAGTCTAAGCTATGGGCTTTAACCTAGCTTTACAAAAGCTCTGAACTGGGGAGTAGTGGTCTCTGGCCCAGCTATAAATTAGTATTTTGTTTTGCACTTGGCTTTTATCCCTGGTATGTAAATTTCATTTGGGAGGTTGGTGGAGAGGAGGGGGATTGGCAAGGATTTTTAGGTCACTGGCTTTATTATCAAAAACAAACAAACAACAACAATAACAACAAAACTACCAAAACTACTATCTGACATAACCTACTAGCTATATCACACAGGCAGAACAAAGCATTATCATAGAAGCACAAGCCATAAACTATGGGCCCTCAGGAAAGCATACTTTTGACTTGAGGGCATTGGGGAATGTATGTGTTTTTAGTTTTTTTTTTTCCAACAGTAATTTAAAAAATGCCCTTGGAATATAAAGAACATTGAGAGCTAAGAAATGCATATGATAGGCTGTAGTTAGACTGTGTCATCACTGTTTAAAATGAGACTGATACACAATCTAGGAAGCAAAGCCAGAAACTCTGGTCATATCTGCAGTAGAAAAAGGCTTCTATTTATCTGTATACAAATAGGTCCCTACCCACTCATTTATTAATGCTCTTTATTAATCATAATCCTTAAAGTCTACTAAATTCAAATAACTTCTCAGATGTCTATTAGAGAATGTGATAAACCACATATATAGTTTTGTACCCAATAACGAGTCTAGACATAGCTTTAAAAAAAACAAAAAACAACAGGGTCACATTCAATAACTCTCTAAATTTATACTCCAAACACCCGTACTCCAATACTCTACTTATTAAAATATTTGTGTTGTAATGTGATCCTACCTGTTTAAAATGGGCACCACTCTCTCCATATACTGATTTTGGGTATATAATCAATTGACTTCTCCCCTCCGCAAGGAAAAAAATGGCTGTGGATCTCACACAGATGCTACTGAGTAGAATGACCTTCAGCCGGCAGGAGATAAACAAGAGCTGCTTTTCATCTCCCAACCATTGATTTTCTGCAAGGCACAAAGCAGCTTTGAAGTCCAGGGGAGAGCTGCAAAGGAAAAGGGAGATAAAACTGAAGGAAAGGGTGGATTTGAAATAAAATTAATCTCTGTCATCTAGGTGTAGATGGCTATTGGCAAAGCTGAAACGGCCAGATTTTATCCAGAGAGAATTTAGGTTATTGTAAAAAGAGGGTGTTTTAAGTTGGTAAAACTGTGCTAGGGGAATGGTGGTGTGTGAAACAAAGAGAAATCTGAAAGGATCTTGGATAAAAATTTTAATTTAGCAGAAATGGTTGCTTTTAATTAAACATTAGCAAGTGTGCAGTGTACAATCTCAATACTGCTCACAAAGTCTTTCCTTTTGTTTATGTTGATGCAACATAATAGAACGTTATATATGAATTGTAAAAGTAATTTTTTATGTCGATTTCTTTAAAAATAACACAACCAATAAGAATTTTGGCTGGATGGTTTTACAGAATGGTTATGACTTCTATAAAAATTATAGACATAACACATTTGAATAAAATTTTTACAAAATTCTTTTCTATGAGCTTCAGCATAAGCCCGGAAGATAGGCTGGGTAAATGCTATTATCCTCATTTTATACACGAGGAGGTAGAGCCTTAGAGAACACATGTGAATTGCACAGGGACACACTGAGAGTAACAGTGAAGAGGCCAGAAGGATCCAGGTTCTCTGATTCTTGGTCTCCTTCTCTTCCTGCAGGCTCCCTCTAATTCGTGGTTCTCTGAGAGGAAAATTCTCTTATGTCTCCTCTTTCTGAAACATGTATTGTTTTCTCGAGGTGGTCTTTTGACAATGTACTCTTAATGTGATACCACTGGGATCCTGAAACACACTTCTTATTCTCGAGATGTCTGGGGGTTACATTCTGACATGGGAAATGGGGAGGCCTTGCTCTGAAGACAGCCACAGTAGAGGTTGAGCTTCCTAAATGCTGCTACTAGAAGCAGATTTCCCATAATTCTGGTGGGCTTAAGAGTACTTAGTGTTGTGAAGTGAAGGATGCTTGAGAAAGTTCAACCCCTCTCAACCATGAACATTAAACAATTGCCAGCTAACCTGAAACCCCAGGCCAGTTCTTCCTCATTCCAGCCTTCTAAGATCTGGGTAAACGACAACACGCATGCCACTTGAGGGAAAAGGCATCATGCAGGAGCTAAAGTTTCACCCACCCTGAGTAGCGGAATCACTCATGTGCTCTCAGAGAGCAACAAAACATGACCTGGGGCCGAGACAGGTTGGGAAGGGGGTCCAACCATGTTGGGAAGGCCAGCCACTGCGGTCGTCAGTGGGAGCCTTTTACAATTTACTGATTTCATGTGGTTATTTTTAAACAACTGATTTGTACTAGATGTTTAATTTAGCATTTTGTTCAGATCCTAAAAATTATCTTTTTGTTCTAGCTGATAATACAGTATACACCTAATAGTACACTCATAAAATTTCAATCAGGTTTTAAAATAAATGCCTAGCAGCTTTTTAATGTCCAGGGTAGAACAAGCTAAATAAAAGGTCTAAATAATTGAAACATATAATTTCCTATTAATTTATTATTTTTGATTTAATAGAATTAATTTGGCTGACAATAATGAACTTTAATATGAATTTTTATATTACTTCACTTAATCAAAAGGGAGTCTTAAATTTATTTCAGAGCGTCATACAATTATTTATAGGGTACTTAATATAGTCAGCTTCTGTTTGAGCTATTGTCATCTTTTGGGATACTTTCTGTACAAGTATATAACACCTTGGTTATGTAAGTTAAATAAGTCATCATTGAAATTTTAAATAGTTGTTACATTGCTACATGGAATTCATATTAAAAATGACATTTACAGAATTTATATTGAATGAATGGGTTAAGATGTAAATTATTTATTAAAATCATCTCCTAATTATTTCATTCACTTATATATATATACAGTTTTAAAAAATATATGATGTATAAGTAAACATTATCTTGGACTATGTGCTTAAATGCCCCATCAACACATTATGTTTGATAGATTTTATAAACTATTAACCAGCAGCCAGATAAATATCTACAAGTACATTTACTTCTGAAATCTGAACTAGTCCTTCTCTGTTCCCTGGGATGCTGTTAGACTTAATCTGCTTAGGATTCATATTAGTTAAAATAATGTAAAAGGGGGAGGGGTATTTAAAAAAATTACCTTGTTACCAGGAAAACACTCATCTCATGCTTCTTTTAAGTGCCAAATGTTGGTGTAAATCAAAATGATTATTCGACATTAACAAGGCACATTGATATTTTAAAAATATTGTTACAAAATAAACATAGGTAAACCATAATTTAGGGGGACTATACAGCATTAACTTGTAGTAGCCTCAAAGTAGGGTCGAAAAATTTTTAACACTGATCGATCTGTCAGAATAATTTGGAAAATAAGTAACTGAAACTAACCTCCTAGCTCTGAATCAGTTTTTTGTGCTAACATTTTTTGTGTGTGTTTTTTTTAGCTATTCAGAGGTAAATGGATAAATCCCTGGAAATAGATTCTGCCTTTTTACACCATTTGCTCAGGGTAAGCCTGTATCCCAAGGTAAATCTCAGAAAGGCCTGTGCAGAACAGTCATACTATCCTGTCATCTTGTGTTGACATACATAATTAATAATAATTTATGAGCGCAGAGATTGTTTTTAACCCTCACTACCCATTAAAAAATTCAAAGATTCTCCTTCATGGTTGCACATCACTATGCAAATTACCCTCTGCATCATTTGGCCTCAATCCAGTAGCCTTATCCTCACATGCCTTTTAGATCTTTAATGATTTACCCTATATGGAGTCTATGGTGATGACGCAGCACACATGGGATTATTAATGATATTAAAGATAATTTTAGAAAAGATATGCTATCTGACAAGTAATAAATTATCAGGATAGTTTATCTCAGAGGATAAAAATAATTTAAGTTAGCAAATGACCTAAATTACTTCTATTTCTTCTTTTTTATGATTAATAAACCTAGAAACTACTTACCCCCTGCTATCTTGGCTTTTCACACATGACTGGAAAGCTGACACGAGGACCTTCCAAATTCTTTGAGCCTAGTCCCTAGCTAAGACAGAGAAGACAAAGGTTAAAGGCCAACTTTGACCCCACATCTCAAGGATTTGACTTGAAGAAAGAGACAACATGTTCTTCACCTGGGCTATGTTTTCTGGATAATGTTGTCTTGGAGGTAAGAGGTAATTCAGTGCATAGCAAGAGTTCTTGAGAACAGTGGTCCTCCCCTTACGTGGATAGTTAACTGCATTGTTTTTTGGAAATCTTTCTGGGTAAATATGGTAGAGGTGGTGAGAGTGCTATCTACTAGGAACTAATATTAAGTAGTACTTCTACATCATAGAGTGAACAATGAGCTTAATCAACATTTTTAGTGCTTCATCTTTGTATCCCACACATCATAGAATACAGGGACCGACTTAAAGTTGACTTGTAGTAAATGTGTAATGAGTTGAAACTGGCGTCATTTAACTTCTCTATCTGTATGTGGTAAGCAGAGAAATGGATTAGGAATTAGGAAAGCAGAATTGTAATTTTGGATCTTTTACTAGCTACGTGAGTTTTGAAAAATCATTTTACTTTTCTTATTGTTTGAAACAATGATATTTGGATTAGATGAACTTTAAAATTTCTTTTATCATCATGATTTATAATCTGCAGATAGTGTAACGACCATAGGATGGTTAAAACCAGTGGTTTGCTTTTAAATAATATAGACTGGCTTTCTAAATAGATAGACAGAAAGCTGTGATTTGTGATGTTGCCTATTTTAATGGTGTAAACACTCCTGCTCTGGCCAATTTTAACCTATTAATGTGAGATGACTGAACACGGAGTTGGAAAGAAATGAGTGCATTTAGCTCTTTCAAGCCACTAGGAGCCAGTTCCAGCACACCATAAGCCTTAAAATACTAAATAATTCTACCCTAAAGGACTGAAAAGTATGTAATATAATTGAGAAAAATTAATAATAATGGGAAACAAAAATAAGTTTTCAGGGTTAATGAGAAAATTAACACATGGATTGTCTTAGGTTTTAATGCTTTAACTAGTAATCTCACTATTACAGTTTTTAAGAATAGTAGGCTATGTAGTGTTTTTTAAAAAAGTCACAGATATATATAAAGACAGTACTATTTTCCAAAGTTTAATCTTTTAGCGTGGCAGAAAGCAATATTTAGAATCCCATCTAATGCTTTAAATGCATTTGTTATAGCTCCTAGATTAGTCTTAAGCCAAGAAGGGGCAGTGTTTTGACCTTCACTGCCCAGGGGATTACTATATTATATCTAGGACTGTCGGCAATACAGTGCCTTGGTACCCACCCATGCACTGTTTATTGGTCACAGTGAGCATTAGAACAGAAGAGTATTATTGAAATGCTGCAGACAATGTAAGCTAAAAATGGGTCTTCTGAAAGGTGTTAAAAGGGATACTAAAGAATATCAATTCAAGTGGAGACATTAGGCCTGAAAGACATAGTAGAAGTAACAAATATCACAATCTATGTAATCCTGAATTTGCCAAGATCCTAATTTATACTTCATGTGACACTTTTCACAAGATAATAACAAGAACATTACTCAGAAAAGATATAATACATACTTTTAAAAAATACAGCTAAACTTTTAAATAGCTTATTTACAATGTGTACTATTTCTAATATTAAATGAGATAATAAAACTAGAATACAAAACCTAAAGGTTGTGTGAGATCAACTGCATATGCTAAATTTCTAGTGTCAGGCAGTTAAGATTTGTAAGGTTTCCCTGTTATTTTTTCACATAAAATCTAAGATGGTAGTTGTGACCAAACACCCAAACAAAAATTTATCATAAATATTATTGTTTTGCTTCCACTCTTTGGCTTAATGTTTATCCAGAAAAATATGTTATTTGGTTAACAATGGGTATATATAGAGCCAGCATGTATATGAATGAGAGGACTGATTTTGATAGAGTGAAACAGCTACCAACTCTAAGGCTGTAAAAGCAGCAGTCTTCTCCCCTTATAGTGGATTTCACCAGGAGAGACCATTGCATAAGATACTTTTGAGATGCTGTACCACACTATTGATATTAATCCCTAAAGAAGTATTTTTTAAAAGTACTATTTGGAGGAGGGAACAGAGGAGTTGAACAAAGATCTGGCACTATCTATGATTTTCAAAAGTTTGATGTAATTCATTGCTCTTATTTTTAAATAGTCAGATGAACACAAGCCCTAAAGCCTGTTCTAATTTGGGGACTTACCCCAGCCTTTCCATTAAACATCTTTATCTGTCTACAACAGATTTGTCTTCCTTCCCTCTGAATACCAGGCCATGACTATCTCCCCTGCAGGTTCCCTGATTCGGTCAGAAATTATTCCTAGTCATTTCATGGAGCAGAGTTCTTTGAGAATGTCACTTTGTAATCTTAATACCATCTCCCTACCAGAAGACCCAAGACTGTGTCTTCCATTCCTACATGCATGTTAAAACCTCTGTTCCTAGGGCCTATCTTGATATGTGATATTTCATGGGCCTGATAGTGTTTCAGCTCCTTTTCACATTTGATATCAAGGAACTTTTGTCTATTCCTTTCAGTTTTGGTAAAGTATTAGATATTTTTAATATTCTTTGCTAATCTAGCATTTCTGTGAAATTAGAAATTAGAAAAGGGATTCAACTAATTTAGCTTACCTTGTTGTTGGAAGGTATCTGTTCCAACTTCTAGGATTATAAAATTTTAAGAGCTGGCTGGAATACTAAAGATCCTTTCTTTACTCAGTAAATTGAGATTTCGATTTATTTACATCATTAGGTACCAGGTAAGTTTGGCACTTGAAAATAAATTACCTGGGCTGTTTTAATTTTTTTTCTATTTATATAGATTATAAAATCCCTAAGCTAGATATTCAATTCACTTTTACATTTATCAAGCCTCTCCAGTGCAGTGGGTTGCTGAAGATAACAAGAGGTATAAATTATGGTTTCTGACCTTAAAGGGGCTCATACTTTAATATAGGGCCCAAATGTGGACAGCTGCAAAATAATGTAGTAAGTCTATTACTACACACATGAATGAAATGCTTTGATAGATTTGAGGCTTTTAATGCAGCATGGGGAAGTCAGAGACTGAGGGAGATGCTACTGGTGTGTTGGATTATGAAGAATTTATTAGTGTACGTGTGTGTGTGTGTGTGTGTGTGTGTGTGTGTGTGTGTGTGTGCTGGTAGTGGTACTAAGGGCATTCCAGGAAGAGGAAAGCGACTGCTGATGCCAGAAACAAACAATGCTGATGCTGATAGTATAGGAATCAGTAACATAATTAAAAGGACCTCTACAAATCATGGGTTACATAGGTTTAATTCAACAAATAGTTGTTGAGGTCAACTTTCTTGAAACTATCTGCCATCAAATCACATGCTGTGCATGTAAACATGGCAGTGATTGTATGTTCTTTCTCTTGCTATTGAGAGTATTAAATATTATTCATAATTTCAATGTTTAAAAAGCTTGCAGTTTTTCAAAAGTCTAAACATACCAGGTTTTAAGGAAGATCAAATGCAAAATTGTGACGCAGGTTGGCTACTTTATCTTCTCGCAACACTCAGGTCTTTATCCTCTCCCATGACCTACCGCCCTGTTCCATCCAATTCCCCTCCCCTCCATCCTTCTTCGCTTCCTCAGTAAGGCAAAGTTAAAACTCAGAACCACTCCTTCCAAATGATCATCAGTGCTGCATCATGACTTTGAAATAAGAGAAGTCATCAAAGATTGACGGAAAGAACAGGAGGAATTGATACTTCCCTAAACAGGGTAGATGATGATCCAAAAAAGATGTTAGAGAAATTGTAAAATTTTGTTTTCTCATTAATTCTCATGTTTTCTTTGTATATAACACAGGGGTCACAGAATGATGTAACTATTGATTATGTCTGTGTTTTACACATAGTAGGTAATCAAAACATATTTGATAGATGACTACAATTTAATTGAGCAAAACAAACAAAATGACATGGTCACTGGCAACTTGATATTCACATGCAAGAATGAAGTTGGATACCTATCTCCATATACAAAAATTAAATCAAAGACCTTGGGAGGGGTTAATGGGGAATAGTCATAGGTACAAGATTTCTTTTTTGGGTGATGAAAATGTTATGGAATTAGAGTGATGATTGCACAATTTTGTAAATATACTAAAAACCACTGAATTAAAAGGTGAATTTTAAGGTATGTTAATTATATGTAAAAAAAAAAAAATAGATGCAAAATCCTCAAACAAACAATAAAACCATAGCCCAGAAAATTGAATTGAGGCTCTTTCCGAGGTGTTCTACCTAGGTAGACTTAACACTGAAGAAGAATATAAGTTAAAGATGAAAGAACATGTTTTAGTTAAAATAAAGTGAAGGCAATCAAAGATGTACTCTATTTCATTAATTCTAAGATGCATTTTTTTTTCACATTTCTGAAATAGGAATGCATCTTAGAATTGATGAGTCACAGTTTATTTGGCTGCATTATTTTTCCTTCATGGTACATAAAATTGTGGTGTGCCTTAGATTCAATGAAGTATAGTATTTAATTTTTAGAATAATGTGGCAGAGACTGCTACCTGCTACCTGTGTTCTTTTCCCACACAGTAATAAATTTCTTTTTTAGCTGGGTAAATGGCTGCCCAGTCAAAGACTATATTCTTAGTTTTCATTATAGCCAGGAGTAGCCATATGTCTAAGTTCTGGCCAATGGTTTGTAAGCAGAAGTAATATGTGCAACTTCTGGTTTGTACTCTTAAAGAAACATGTCTTCCCTTCTCTTTCATCTTTTCTTCCTTCCTTCTTTCCTCCCTATTTCTTTCCTTCTTTTCTTCCCCCTCCCCTTCATTCCCTTCTTTCTAAATTGAAGATGTAATGGTGGGAGCTGAGCAGTCATCGTGATCTGTGAGAGAGAAACCATGTGTTGAAGATGGTAAAGCAATGAGCAAAGATGTCTGAGTTTGTCATCATGTTGAAACCAACATACTAGCCCTAGACTGACCATGCAGACTTTTAACTCAGAAATAACATTCTAGGTTGTTTAAGTCACTCTTATTTTGGGTTTCTCTGCTACGGGAGCTGAATAAATATTCTATCTAATATGAATGATTTCACATTTTCTTTTTTCTGGAAGTAGACTATGATCATTTTCTTCTCCCTCTAAACACACACATACACACACACACACACACACGCGCGCGCGCGCGCGCACGTGTGCATGCGCATGCTGTCTGGACCAAAAATGAGGTACCAGATGTAGCATTTACTTATAAGGAATGTACTGTGAATAGCTTTTCACTTTTCATTATCATGGAAAGATGACTTCAGCCCACATTCAATCTATATTTCTAAATAATACCTGTGTTAGGACTATCTGTGCAGTGCAGTGGAAGACAGCTTTTTCAGTGCAAGTGAGATTTCTTGATAATGCTAAATCTGCTTTGTCAGCTAAATTCCTCTGGCTTTTTGTCACAGTGTGCTAAAAATACATGATCAGATTTCACTGTTAAGAAAATTCTTTCAGCAATACATGTACAGTCAAGTTTCTATTCTAGCTGAATATTTGGGCCATGAGGTTTAAAAAAATGTCTCATGACAAAACTTTATGAAAATGCAACAATCTGGAAGTCTAGTTCTTAGAGTGGCAAGGCTGTGAAGCGCTGTGCTGTTGTCGGTCTGTCCTTTTGACAATCATACTCTTGGTTCTTCATATTTGAGGAGATGGAACGGTGAGCAGGCCTGTTGGCTTGATCTTATTAATGCCACCATCTAGAATACAGATTCTTGGATATTTCATCTTCACAAGATGAGCTGCAAACTGAAAAAAAAGGCCAAATTTATAGAGGATATATGAAATATTTATTTCTCTCATCCCATTTTTTCTCAGGACGTTAAGAACAAAACTACTCTAATGATACTACTGCTGCCACTGTTGCATCAGTGACTCATTAAGTTGGTTTTTAACAGAAATTAAATCACTCAAATGTTGACAATTTGTTATACTACACAATTAACGTGACCCTTTAGTTCTCTTTAAACGTGTTTGAAAAGGCAACAGATATACATGGTAAACAAGTCAAACAGTATAAAAGGGTGTACAGTGAGACGTAAATTCCTCCTACCTCTCTTCTCATCTCACTCTCTACAGGTCATTGATATTCTTATTTTTCATGTATCCTTCCAATGACAGTTGAAACATTTTCAAAACCATATTGAACAATTTTTGATATCATTGCTAACTTATTAGTTATTGCAATTCCATGCACAATGTCCCAGAGAGGGCTTATAAACGGATTGTAATATGTTTTTGGAACAACCACAATGAACTATTTGACACCATAAACATGAATTTGAAAGACTGATCCAAGACGTCTTCTCAATGTCTAGCAAAACAGGACTGTTAGAAGTTATCAGGACACACAAATCTCCCTGACCTGGCCCAGGTCTACCTGTGTAGGGTCACTGATTATCTTTCTCCATTTCTTGTGCTTTATGTTGAAGCTGTCCTAAACTGCTCGAGTCCTCTGATAGACAAGATTGCTTTAGGGTTCAGAGCCTTTGGGATGCACAGGTCACCCTCTCTTGGGAACACGCTCCATCCTCCCAGCTCTGGCTCCCCTTCAGTCCTTCCTCAAAAGCTCCCCACCCCCAGCTCCATCTGCCCAATTTTTACTTATTTCCCTACTCAAGTGCTTCCTTCTCTGGGAGCCAAGTCTCTATTAGGAGACTGTCTACTCGACCTCCAAAATCTCTACTGCAAATCCCTGTATTTGGCTTACCACACTTACTGAAATTGCTCATTTAAGGGCCTGTTTCTTCTACTAAACTGTAAGCTCCCCTAGGACTGTGTTCTGTTTCTTTTTATCCTTAAGTACCTGGCACATGACAGGGGCTCGATATATGCTTGTTGGGCTGACCTAACCATGACAAATGATATATAACCTGGGACAAAAGGATGAAGTAAAGAAGGTTTTCTTTGACTCTCTGGCCATTTTTTTCTCTATTCCCTCCACTTGGTAGTGTCCCATTCTTTCCCTTCGGTATTTGTGTCCTCATGTTCTTTTCAACTGCTTCATTATAACCTGCTTTCAGATCCTTCAAGAAAAATGACTAATATCTGTTCACAGTGCTATTGCTTCTTGGGAATATTTGGAGCTTAATCGATGGTGAAGTCTCAAGCTAGTAGTCTAGACTTTATGGTTCAAAAGGATAAACTGAGTGGTTTAGTCAGGATTAGCTCAAGGTCTTACCCTCAGAGATTCTGCTTTATTGTTCTAAGACTAAGGAATGTGGTATTTTGTTTTGTTTTTCACAAACACCACCAGATGATTCTAAAGCAGGTAGTCTGTGGACAATATTTTGAAAAATACTATCCTAAACCAAAGGGCTAAAGGTATCAGTATGTAGGTGAAATAGATGTTGCTGGACTGGGATCTTAGCAATCTTCAAAACAATTAACATAACTAGATCTCAATACTGTTGACCCCACTTATCTTCTCCATCATTGTCTATAGTGCCTTTACAGAGATTTAAATGGCTGTTCACATTTCAGATCCTATACTCTTTTAGAGCCACAGAGGATATCTTTAGTAGTAATTAATATTGAAAAAAATTAGTGTACCTGTATTTCAAAAGGTATCAAGGGACCCAGAATACCAATGTGAGCTAGCCTTCATCCTGTTCTTCTCACTTATTTCTCTTTGAACAACCCCTCCCTCCCCCCGCCACCACCACCATCCCTAAGAACAGAGGCACCAGGCTCATCTGCCCTGAGTCATGTGCAGGCAGCACAGTCTCTGGGAACCACATGATTACTGAAACATCTTGGCTTCATTCTCCCACATGCAGCAATACAATTACCATTTTGGCTGGAATTCTAAGATAAACATACCATCATTCAAAAAGTCTGTGTGGATAAGCAGTGTTAGCATTAGTATTTTCAAAACACCGTAGAAGTCAGAACATGAGTAAGGAAGGACTTACTGTACATTTAACTAATCTCTCTTAAACTATGCTGTAGAGCTGGAAAGAGTTCCCACTGTTTCTGTAAGGAGGGACAGGACAACTAGGCTGCTGTGGAGCTGGAAAATGGTAAAGACAAAGCAGGCAGAACAGAGCACCTCGGAAAAATCGAGGTGCTGTTACGTGGGAGGTCGAAGAAGAAAAGTAGATATAGAGTACAACAACATGAAAACAGTTTGGGTGCCTTGAAAGAAAAGGCAAGGCTGTGCTTAAGAAAAAGACAAATGTTGAATTTTCAGGTTAAGACTGTGAATTCTGTCTTTCACCCTCCGCTTATAGTTCCAATTATCTATGTTAAATATTGGCCCCAAACAGTGAGGTCATCACTTCATCTTTTCCACTATCATGGAAACAGCCCCTCCCCTCCACCTATTCATTCATTTGTTCATTCATTTATCAATCAAACATTTCACTGAGCACCTACTAAGTACCAGGCAATGTTCCAGTTTTTGCAGTCTTTATAGTTTAGTGGAAGAGATAGTAACAAGCAATATCAAGTAGCGTGGATGGCTAGTACAAAAGCAGTTCAGGATACTTCTGAATTTGATAGGGGTTGCGGGACATGTTCCACTCTCTCCATCCTCTTTCAGGATTGACACCTGAAGGGAATGGGGATCCAGGTGTGATGGCAACAGTTCTTACATTGATCAGGTAGTGTTCTCTGTGGCTACAGCTTGACAGGTTAGGGAGGAAGGAAGGGCTGTGAATGTACGGGGGTGGTTTCCACCTGTGAAAAAAGCCATATCACTCATGGAGAAGATATGTGGTGGAACAGAGGAGAAGCAGGCATGCGGAGCTCGGGGTTTTGTCCATCTTTACTCTCTATCTGGCAGGGCTTTAGTGAGAGAACATACAGGGTATTGGACTTTGTTAATTAGGGGCCTATTGTAGATGGCAAGCTGCAGCTTTGGGAGAGGCCTGGCTTCAAGTGGAGACTGCAAACCTACACTTACTGAGCAATACCCTTGGTGAGAGTGGGAGGATAGCATATTGGCCAATGGTTATGAAGTCATCAGAATCATCTGGGTGATTTTAGTAAACAGTGATACCCAGGCCCACTCCAGACATGTAATACAAGTGAAGTATCTTAAGATGGAGCTCAGGTTCAGTTTTTTTTTTTTTTTTTTTTTTCCCCAGACTCCCAGGCGATTCTATTGTGTAGCCAGCACTGAGAATCATTTTATTAAATAATGAGATTCATTTGGTCAGGTTTGTCTGGGACCTCAAACTGCAATTTTTTAGGTATAGTCCTGTGTGGAAAGCAAGTTACTTTGTACTAAAAACAGCTAACATGTCTGTAGGGCTGTAATTTGTGAGACCAAGTCCTATACAGAGAGAATGGGGTTCCTCAAACTGCACAACCAGCTGATACAGAGCAACATCCTATGTGAAGCTGGCAGGGTCTGGTATTTGCTGGGATAGGATTTCGGGACTCGCAGCCTGCAGGGGCAGCTGCATTCCTGGTGGGCGGTACTCCCATGTGGAGAGGCAAAGCTCTTGAATTGTTGTCATTCCTTTGGTTTGTAGGGTTTGGTGGTGGTATTCATTTCTAGGGCTTGGGTCGGCATACCTCAAAGCAGCACTGTCTGGAAGTGGCAGGACAGTGCATCTTGTTTTCTCTCTTTATCTTGTATCTCAGTTCGATCTAAGAGGCTGGCCTATTTGTCCAGAGGAAGTCAAAATCTGCTGTAGCAGAAGAATGAGTGGAGGAAAGGGATTTTTGATCTGGCACAGCATAGTGCAGGTTAACTAAGGCCAAGAAATTAAGGTGACGGTAGGTAAGGTTTAAGAGGAGCATAGAACAGGATTATGTTGTTTCTCTCTGGGTGTCCTGGGACACAAGTTTGGGTATAATCCACGGTAGCAGCAGGAACTTAAGAAAACTGGGCTTTTGCAAGATATTTGCAAGGAGCACACAGCAGGATAGTTAATTTTCTTGATGTGAAACTCTGGCCTTGTGTGTTTTAAGTTCATTTAGGGACTGGACAATTGGCATGAATTGGCTAACATTCTGATGAAGCTCAAGTTGAAAAAATCTTTTCCTCTCTTCCATTTTATTTGCCCATTTCTTTCCCCCTAAATAATGCTAAATTTTGGGCATGGAAATATCACTTTTGGTTGGGCATGGAATTAAATAAGGGAACTGGTGATTATTCTGTAATGAGCAGCTGTAGTAATTTCATTTTCTTGATTTTATGAATGTGAGGCTGCTGCTGTATTAGTCTTATGTATTCTCTTGACTCTGGAATACTGAAAATATGGGGCACATTTAATATTTCTGATACTGTGTGGTTGAGGCTAGGCTAATAGTTCATGTACCTACTTTTAAGAGTTTAGCTAGTCAACTTAGATAAGCATATTTGAAATAAAAATAGAATATTGGGTGATTTCTCCATCTAGAGTTCAATGTGGCCTTAGGTTAATATAACTCAAGTGCTGTCTGCTGTCTTGTTTTGATTATTTAAGAGATTTATGGGGTCTTGATTAATAAAGGTCTTGATCATTTGACTGCCCATCTCAGTGATTCCAATCAGAAACATACGAGCTATGGCAAAGATTTGTAAGAAAGAGGTAGGGATAATTTATAAAATACTCCAGTGATCTCTTCCCTCGGTTATATAGTCAAGTTTAATTTTGAATGTCATTTTTTTTCTTTCAGTCCTTATTGTGTTCCTCCCATAACTGAGACAACATTTTTTTCTATATTCAGATATTTTATAATTAACACACTGAGGTTTATTTTCTTAAGACGACTACATATATTTGTTTTCTTAAATAAACTACATAAAGGAGTGC